CTTTTTTCCCCATCGGCTGTCGGTTCTTCGAGCTATATGGCTGGCCCATTGCCACTTCTGCTTACTAATCCGTCGGGATATGTCAGTCACTCTGGTTCTACTGCGGATATCCTCATTTCTAAGTTTATCACTCAGAGAAACTCCGAGCATAGCCCTCTCCATAGCTCGCTGAGCGACCTTGAGCTTCCTCATCCGGCCACCAGTGAAGGACCACGTCGCAGTTCCATTTTTTAAATTAATGTAGTTTTATTTTTTAAATTAATGTAATGTAATATGTGTGTGCGTGCGTGAGTGCACGCGTGCGTTCATGAGTGCGCGCGGGCGTGCGTGCAAACGTGCGTGCGTGCGTGCGTTTTCGCGTTTTTCTTACTATATAAGACATTACATGACTTATTTAGCGGACACCAGTTTTACAATTAAATGTTGACATTTCATAAATCTGTATTTTCGCATTCATTTTGTTATAAAGTATAGGACCTAGTTAATAAAATCTTTTTTATAAATGAAAAATTGACTAGTGGAAGTGTGCATACTTTGTCTTTACGACGTTTTGTAATTTCAATGTGAGGAGTCTTAATAGATAGCTCTTTGCGCAACTTCAAGTGGCTTTAATATTGTTCTTGCAATACTACCCCTATGATAGACTGACATAAAGCGTAAAAAACTTTGCGTATAATTATGGAATTGGCGACATATCATAGTGTTTTAAATATATATATATTAGTTTGCGAACCTTACATGTTGAGAGATTTAAATGCATTTTAAAATTAAGGTGTTTATCCAGTATAATAGCGAGACACTTTATAATATCTACAGAACTTATCTGTGGACACAGACAAGGGGAGACTGACGAGACCATGAGTGAGCTTTCAACTTGATGGGAATATTTGATTCATGCATGCATTTCATGGATCAATTTGATTGCGAGGTGGAACTGATAGAGAAATTTATAAATTTACAATTTAGTTTTGGAAGTATTATGAGTATGAATGTGAGATAATAGCCAATTATATATTTGATTAAAACTACGTTGTGATTTACCTTCATCTGTCCAAGATGTAGCTGTGTCGTCTGTAAAAGAGACAACTTTTGCGTTATCAATGGGGGCATTGCACAAGTCATTAATAAAAACAAGAAATAGAGTCGGGCCAAGAATACTTTCCTGGGGCGGCACCATAGGAAACAGGGAGTTCGTCACCGATGCAGTCGGATATTTTAACCATTTGAGTGCGATGACGGATGTTCCCATTAGAGTGAAAGTTTTCAGCAAAGTAGCTTGTGCTCCTGATGCTGCTATCCTATGTTGTTTCTTTACTCCATAGTTCCAAAGAGAAAGAAATCCAGTACTTAGTGGCACCATCTACATACTTCTAATCAGTGATCACTATTATAATAGTTGACTGCCTCGTTGGTCTACTAGTCGTAAACAGGGTTGCTGATCACGAGGTCCTGGGTTCAAATACCGGGTCGAACCAGTTATTGGGTTCTCAGAAGTTCTCAGTAGGAGGTCGGAGTCATGAAGTTTGCGGTGTTTCATCCTCGTGCCTCGGAAAGCACGTAAAAAAGCACTCTCCGGTCGTATCGGTTTGCCGTCCCATCGGACTGTGAGAGTGAGGGAATAGAGTGTGCACTTGTGCTCGCGCATACACTCGGTCTCTATAATCCTTTCCAACAACAAATGGGTAGTCTCCGTTGAGTCTTTTTGTTCTTTGGTAACTACAAATAAAGCTCGCTTTTCACTATGGGATATAATGTAATATTATTATATCTCGAGATATAAATTAATATCGCTCACCGTACTTTTTAATGGAAACGTTTACACTGAGATATAATATACAGTAAAACTTCGTTAAGTGGGACCTGGATAAATGAGAAACCTCCATAGCTGGAACTCATGCTTATATCCCGACACTTTAGCACTGAATTACCTCTGTTAGTGGGACAAAACAAACCTCTATATCTGGAATTAGTTCTTTCGATTTTATCATCATAATTAGTTCTTTCGATTTTATTCGTCGTAATCACCTCTATAATTGAGACAGCGAGTATATTATACCTCTTTTACTGACACTATATTTTGTGTACCGTTTTGTTTACAAATTTTTTATTCTATCCGCAAATTTCGCACTTGTCTAATTGTGTAAAAGTGACCTCCAGTTTTAGTTTGGTTTTGCTATCGTCCGGATGTTTATGTATTATGTTTACAAAATACGTTATTTTATTTAATAATTGCACCTCTATAACTGAAATAACCTCTATTCTCACTTCTATTAATGGAAACCTCTGTAAATGAGACAGATATTTATTTATATCTGAGACATTGGGTAAGTGGAATACCTCTTCAAGTGAGACAAATTTGCAGGTCCGTTAAGGTCCCAGTTATCCAGGTTTCAGTGTATATTACATCTCAAACTATAATTTTTTTTTTCGATCGACCGAGCGATATTTTCATATTATATTTCGCAGTCTGTACCTGAATGAATTTTTGAGTAGTGCGTATACTCATTTGTATGCGTAACTTTTCTTAATAGAATTCATTAAAAGGTCTAAGTTCACCATATTCCTCTCTGAACTTTATATGATTTGATATCCAGTATTAACGCTCCCTGTTTTTACTTGAAAGTAACACATAAACCGAATTCTGCATCATCCCTCTGATGAACCGTCGAGGCTATCAATGAAAACAATATCCATTTTGTTTGTAAACGACGAGTACGGTGTAAATGTAATCCAATGACGAACGCACACTGGTTAAACCATACATCTCACTGTGTGATAGTCAATCGCAGGATATAATTTATACCTCGCGATATAATCCATACAAATAAATAAAACTGAAGTGTCTGTTTGTAATGTCAAAATTACAATCTTTTACTAAATGCATATGAAGGTAAGTACGGTACTTATAACTAAAATACAATTTTTAAAATTTTTGTCTGTCTGTCTGTCTGTTTGTTTGTTCCGGCTAATCTCCGAAACGGCTGGACCGATTTTGACGGGACTTTCATTGGTAGATAGCTGATTTCATAAGGAGTAACTTAGGCTACTTTTATTTTAGAAAAAGAATTAAGGTTCCGCGCAAAAACGTAAAAGCCCTAACACGCGAGCGATGTCGCGGGGAACAGCTAGTATAATATATTATATCCCATAGTGAAAAGCAAGCTTCAATTACATATGTATCTGTTATAAAAAAACATTTTCAGAATTTGAATTTGTTGTCCTTTTATAAATATTTTACTATAAAATATGTAAATATTTCAATTGAATAAGAATATTGTGGAATATTTAGAGTGAGAGTATTTAGCAAGAGACCCGACGGTATGACATTGGTCACTTGCGAGAGAGGTAAAGCCCTAGTGTGGGATGCTACTTGCGTAGACACTTTGGCGGCCTCTCATCTCAGCGGTACCTCGTTTAGAGCCGGGCGGCATCAGAGGCAGCTGAACTAAGTGGCGGAAATATTTGTTCCATTTGCTGTAGAAACTATCGGTCCGTGGGGTCCACGTGCGGTGAAGTTCCTAAAGGAACTGTGTCCGCGACTGATCGTCGCTACTGGTGATAAGAGGGCTGTTTCTTTTCACGTTCAAAGGCTTTTTTAATAGTGTACCTATATATTTCAATTTTATGTAAAGAAATAGTTATTAATAATTGAAAAAGTACACTAATGCAACATGTAATTCCTGAAAAAAGTTCAGATTCTGTGCGGGTATTTTTCTATAAAATAAATAAATAATCAATTGAATAAGTTACTAACACAACATGTAATGCCTGGCAAAAATTAAGGTCCTGTGCCGGTATTTTTCTATTAAATATATACTAATACAATATGTAATGCCATCCCTATACTTTTTATAGTAGCTACTATTGTGTAGAGTGCCTATGATGGTATGTTTGTAATAATATTTGAATCTTAATGTTTACAAAACAATAAAAAACTAAATATGTCAAATAAATTTCGATTGCAACAAATTATATTCTATGAAATTTGTCGAAATAAATAATTATTGAGAAAAATAAGATTCAGCTTCATAAAAATCTTTACAAAATACTAGTGCGTCAGAAATATGCATTAAAGGGTAAAAGTATTTTCCTTTAAAATATTTATAAAATAAAATAAACACATTATGCATAAAAACAATTAAGCTGCATAATATATATATGTTGCAGCCTAAATCGTGCTATCGTGAAATGCCAGAAAGTTTATTTATCAAGATCGGAGATAGGTGCAGCGTGGAACGTGCGAAAGGTCAGGTATTGCGATCAATGAGTCGCGAGAGTGAGAGAATTGTATTAACAAGTAGGATGCGGGAAATAAAAACTGCGTAAGAACCTCCGAAAGAGACGGAGTTATAGCCGAAATAAGAATTTTTAATTTTTTGGTTTTTGGCCATTTTGAACCCCTAGGAGTGTAATGAGAACTGTTTGCCCTGAAATTAATTTATATAAAGTTTTTATGTCTTAATTATTGCATACGCGATATAGGTAAACTGTGTAACATTCAATAGCAATGTCACCTGCAAATTGTACACACACAGCTTATTGGCAATAAATATTCTGATTATGATATGACCAGGATTAAGAAAGGAACGCTTCGGTGGTTTGGTCATGTTGAAAGATTGAATGAGGAAAGAGTGACAAAGCAAATATATGTTGCAAAGTTAGCGACAGAAAGGGACGCCCTAGACAAAAGTTTATCGACCAAATTGGCGATATAGTGAAGATGGGCCAGATAAAGAGTACCCTTAACCGACGAGCACGTTTGCTTAGGTATAAGGATGTAAAGGAGGCGGGAGAGATGTGTCAAGATCTTGCCAAATGTGTGACGGGCGTGAGTTTTTATGTTTTTAATGATAGTTAATCCCCCTTTGGGAGAGGTTCATAATGTAATATTATGTTTGTGGGACGTTGATTGTGAGCAATAGCCCAAATATAGTACTGTAGTTTTGTCGACAACTCTACTATTACTTCACCGTGTCTTATGGTATTTTATATTATTCCAGAATGCCACAGAGAGAATGAAATTAAACCAAGAGATCCCATACGATGCAGAGAGTGTGGATACCGTATAATGTACAAGAAGAGAACAAAAAGATGTATCCTTTTAATAATTTTGTAACAAAATCGTTTTAAACAAATAAATTTAAGTTTATCACTAAAAACACTGTACCAGTACCAATATATATTCTTCTATTTTTATTTAGATGGTTAATTTGCGACGTATTTTCGGCAATTCTGTGTTTAGTGCGTATTTTACGTGTGATGATCTTCTAAAAAAGTTTCAGATCTGTATTTGTTTTTTCTAAGCAATCTGTAAATATCCTCAGTTTTATGGGTACAGACCTTCCAGATGGCCTGTTACATTTATGTAATTGTATTTTGTATTTTTTCCTCTATTTTTAATAAAAGGCGGACATAACTAACACCAACCCAAAAGACAATTATAAACATTAGGCCGGGTCCATATTTTATTGTTTTGACATAGCCTGACAGAACCTGATGGTGAGTAAATACTGTGGCCCATAGACACATTAATTTATCCTTGATTAAATATTAAAATGCAGATGCCTTGTCACCCCTGCGGAGTAAGTTAGTTTTTCGTCTGGAAACAAATTTGCAGTATACGAGGGCTGCACTAAAAGTATCGGGAATAGAATATTTCCACTGTTCCTGTCATATTAAAATCTTTTTAATTGAAGTCCTTGGTTTTTAAAATCCAATACCATTTATTTATTTAAAAAAAGATTCTCGGTCTTGCCACAAGGTTTTATCAAACTTGTTTAGTCATTGAGAAAATGGAATTGACTCGAGAAAATTCAAGAGCGATGATTTATTATGACTTTCGAAGTGGTTTAACACAAAAACAGTGTGTTGACCGGATGATTTCTGCATTTGGTGATAAAGCCCCATACAAAACCACAATTTATCGCTGGTTTGATGAATTTCGACGTGGTCGTGTCAAGCTCAGTGATGATCCCCGTCAAGGTCGTCTAAAAACTGCAGTCACCCAAGAAAACGTTGATGCTGTGCGTAAGCTGATTGGGGAAGATCGACATGTGACTTTAGACATTGGCATGAGTCAAATACAAATAATCTTGCATGAACAATTAGGTGTAAAAAAGTTGTTTTCCCGATGGATACCGCATTCGCTCTGTGAAGAGCAAAAAGCGGCTCGCGTTACTTGGTGCGTCAGAACTCTCGAAAGATTCCACGCAGGATCCTCAAATGCTGTATACAACATCGTATCAGGTGACGAATCCTGGATATACGCGTACGAACCCGATACATAAAACCAGTCACGAGTTTGGGTGTTCGCAAATGAGTTAAAGCCAACAAAAATTGTTCGTTCACGGAGTGTTGCAAAAAAAATGGTGGTCACGTTTGTCTCCAAAACCGGCCATGTTACGACTATTCCTCTTGAGGGACAAAGAACGGATAATGCAGAATGGTATGCTAGCATTTGTTTGCAACAGGTCGTTTCTGAACTCTGTAAAGAGAACTGCAACCGCCGCATCATCCTCCATCACGACAATGCGAGTTCTCACACCGCACACAGAACAAAAGTTTTTAGAGCAAGAAAACATAGCATTATTAGACCATCCGCCGTACAGCCCCGACCTAAGCCCTAATGATTTCTATACTTTCCCTAAAATAAAGAATAAATTGCGTGGACAGAGATTTTCATCACATGAAAAAGCTGTGGACGCCTACAAAACGGCCATTTTGGAGACCCCAACTTCCGAATGGAATGGTTACTTCAATAATTGGTTCCATCGTATGGAAAATGTGTCAAATTTTGCGGAGAATACTTCGAAAAGCAATAAATACATTTTTAAATAGTAATGTTGTGTCACTTCCTTGATACCCGAAATTTTCAGTGCCGCCCTCGTATGTCAGTCTGTTAGACAACTAGCCTCTGCCGTGTAAGGAGGATTACCTATAAATGCCACGCTAGGCAGGCGAATTGGCGATAGTAGTAGTGGTAGACTTCTAGCACTTTTTCACTCTAATATTTTCGCCTGGTGTAAGTAAGATGGTACACCGCCTTATTTGTTTCTGTTATATGATAGTAGCACCGTATATTTTATATATGTATTTCAAAATAATTTCCTTTACTCCCATTTCAGTGGTTGTTTTTGATGCACGGTGACCCAGCAGAATAATACACAAGAAACATGATTTTACGTTTATTTCAATCTTATTGTTATAAAATATCCATCCATGTATTATAAACAATAAATGGGTAAATATTTGACAAGTTCTTGTTACATTTTTCCTTCAATATTTCTTCGGAATAAAAATGCAATATGAATACAATAAAAGTTCAAATTCGGATTCTTAAACGTGATATTATTAATTTAGCAGCTGTATTTTTAACATTAATATAAGTTACAATAATATGCATGTCGTTAAGGAACAACTATTAAAATATTTATATTTTGGAATAACTAACCCTTTTATCTTTTATTCCGGGGAATTATAAAATTGCTACAAAAACTATAAATATATAGGTTTATCTTTAAAATGCCTTGATTTATAAACAAAATTCGGTTCATATAAATAGCGTAGGCATAGCTACTAGATGCAAATTAAATGTCCACCATTAGCCCCCCCCCCCCCCCCCTAAATTATTCGATTGTTTGATCACGCAAGTTTTTATAAGCTATTACACTTTTTATAACTAATTACACTCCACAAAAAGTCCACAGCCGAACCACAGACCTCAGGGAGAATATTTTCCATAGTCGCAGCGGCAGTTTTTTTTTTTATTATTTTCGTTTTTATTTTCCCCTGTCGCTTCTTTGACATCCACAGGACGACATGTGGTAGTTCAGCTGCACAACAGCTATCATGATACGTTGATACATGTATTACATTTTTTTTTTGAACAATCAAACACAAACGTAAATGTAATTCTAAAGGATATAATATGTAAATTGTCTTTACCCAATTATCTATTCGTGTACTTTTATAATTTTTCTCAGTCTACTTTCCCAAAATACGGTGGAGAGCAGTAATTTCAAAGCATTTTTTCCAGAATAATAATTAAATACAATGTTTAATTTGCTATGAAACAAAATATTGTTTAACAACATTTTTAAATGGCATTTCAAAGAGTGTATAATCGAAGCCCTAGAACATGATCTCTAAAAAAAATACTTCCAACGTTACCTCCGTAAGAAGCATTCCCATAAAATCGGATTTTTTAAAATTAATCATTTTACGTCTGTATTTGGATAACCGTATTTATGTGAAAAATGTTAAAAACAGACAAATAGCTACCAAGTGCTGCGTTTTGCGAATTTTGGCACGAGAATAGTAATAAAACTATACGAGGTTTTTATTATATATTTACCATAATGAGTTTTAAGGGCATCGTAATAAAAAAAAAATGAGAGTTGCCCTTGGAGTTATCGTACAAAAACGACTACAGCTCAGCAATATAACTCTCAGCCCAAGATCTAGCTGTTAATTTCATGAAAATATTAAGCTCGTACTGATAGCCTATTTAAGTTTCTGTGTTTTATAATGTGCCCCGAAACACACTGATCTTTGTTATGCTGACACTCTTTTTCAACACGTTTTCAATTCAAGCCACAGGTTCTCGAACCATAGCATTTATAAACAATATATTGTTATACATACAAATATAATGTACATCATATCAAAAACAAATTACAATAGTCCCTGAATCAAACGATTGCGGTATATAATCGTCAGTCAGCAAAACGAGCAGCTCGCTGGCCGCCGAAATCCCAATTTTTTAATACATTTCTTTTTTATTATAACAGCAGAAAATAAACAAGTACTAATTATCTATATTATAATCATTATAATGAATTTTATCACAGTATGGGACAAATACAATTATTTGCTCTTAGTCGGATAGATTATTATTTCAGTTTATGCGACGCATAACTTGAATTGATCCCATATGTGGAAAGCTAGAAAGAGTATTAGCGTAACAAACGTGTGCAAGTACACGTACCGGCGAACCCAACGACCCCCCCCCCCCCCACCCCCCACCCTTCCAAAAACATGCAACAATCCAAGTTGCAGTGTACATAATTACTTTAACATGAATTTAATATCAGAAAGTTAGCGCACCCCATTTTTAACCTCAATAAATAATATTGTTTAGCTTAGTAGGTTATTCTAATATATTACAATTTAAGATTTTCATGCTCATATGTTATGTTACAAATAACTGTACCCAAATAAATAAAAAATTGATTTAAAAAGATCACTTTCCTGCTCGTATAAAATTTACTGACTACTTATCATTTACAAATCGTGAACTATAATATGTGTATGCACATGCACAACTTCACTTGTGTTCCACTTGATGAATAAACCTTTGGTTATTTACCATTTAGGCCGCTTGAAACTACGGTTAATAATAAGTATAATAACAAATTTGACAATGCAATATTATAAAGGTAAATAACTTATCTAATATTTACACTATGAACTAGGTCATTATAGGACTTACACTAGTCAAATATTCACCCAAATGAAGAGCAACTATAAAACAAACACCTAGCACAAGAACTATTTTCGATATGGAAGACTCTTCAAGGATTTAATGTTTATATTTTTTTATGGAAGTTGATATGCCAATTGTTTTATTTAAAGATAAAGAACATTGGAAGTAGACTTGTAAATACTGTATATATTTTATAAAAATACATACAAAAGAGTTATGGTATCTATTAAGATTTTCCTACGTTTAAAGAATTTGTAATATGTTTCATTGATATTTCAAACGTATTTTACAAATATGGACCACAAAACGTTACTGTAATTATATTTTCGACAAGTTTGAATGGAAGCTTTTATCCAAATTTTAATGAATTATAATGAAAATTCAACAAATTAAATAACCCCTCATTAGTTAGACCTAATCATAACAATCATGATACGTAAGCCTTACAATGGAAGCAAATATAACAACATTAAAATTACTTAAATTTGTGATATTTACAAGACATACATTTTCATAGTAGTATTGAAATAAAGATACAAATATGTATATAATAAAAGCGCATCAATTTGTTTTCAAACATTCTGAGTCAAACCCCAGTATGAATAATTACTAATTACACATCACTTTTAATCAACAATTGCAGAAAAACAAAATTGCACAATAAAACTCCTACTTATCATAATTTTGGCACTAATTATCTGTGGCACTATAATTAATCCTTGTTTCAACGTCCTGACCGTTACTATGTTCCATAATTTTCATATCACTGTCCTTTTCATTTTCACAAATGTTTTCCAATACAGCAGCGTCTTCGTCCTCAGAAGTTTCCCTGCCAGCAGGAGGCACCGCTACAGCGCCGCTAGGCTCTCGATATTCTAATTTCGTAGGATCTTTCTCGTGCAGTTTTCGAGCAAGTGACTGTAAACTGGCTAAAGAACTTGCACAATCTGTTGTGTCAATGTCTGTTAAACTGACGCCAGCACGTTCTATTTCCGTAAAAGTACCAAACGGTAGTTTAAATAAACATTCCAACCTCATAACATGCATTTTACTTCTTAGATGCTTGGCTAGATGGCCGTGAATTCTAAAAGCTATGTTGCAGTCAGAACAGCGGAACGGGCGAGGATTGAATGATGTTGCTGCTCCGAAAGTAGAGGTCATAGAAACTTTATTATGATGAGAACCGGAACGTTCATGCTTTTGGAGATGACCTCTTGTCCTAAAACTAACAGCACAAACACTACATCGAAAAGGCCTCTCCATATAGTGTATGTTCAAGTGCAGTCGTAACTGGGAAGGTTTAGTAAATGTTTTGTTACAAAAATCACACACTCTACGTCCATCTTCCATTAACCTACCCGGTGAATATGATGACCCTTCAAATTCTTTTCCTTTTGTCACCTTAAACGCAACTCCTCCAACTCCAATTACAACTTTTCGAGCAACGGGTTCGTGTTCTAAGGACGGCATTTTTAACGATTCAGTTTCCGAAATATTAAGATCGTCAGATTTAGTTTTCTCTTCCATATTACCTTTACCGCTATTGCTCTCGTCACTGGAGTTATCCGTTTGATTTTGGTATGATTCTTCTCGCGTTTTAATGTGATTGATTCGTGCATGTTTAAGGTACTCCGAGACTACATGTTTAGCATTTTCGGAATTATTATTTGGAGTTCGGGCTCGTTTAGTCTCTACGTTAAAACTAATAGAACGGGATGTATCACTACCTGCTATACTATCATCCTTAGAATCTGTCGATGTTTTCACAACATTATTATTTGCACTAACAACGGGCACTTTTGATATGTTTACTTGGGGTGATGTAATCGGTGTCGTAATGCTGATAGTAGTCGTGGTGAGCACATTGTTGCCGTCTAGTGCTTCATCCGATTTAATGAACATAGATTTCTCTAAATCAATTTTTTTTAATTTGCTTAAGTTGGATGAAAGTTGACTTTGCTTTATCTTTGAATCTAGTAAAGCACGTTCTGTTAAATATGTATGCAACATGGGTTCCCCATTCGACCACTGGCTATTATGTTGTGGTAGTTTTGCCGTATTTGATGCTAATGAAGCAAGAACACTTGACTCTTTCGCCGTGGGAATTTCTGGTATATTTGCAGTTTTTCCATCACTTCGGCTTAAATCCATAGGTTCATTATCGGTATCCATTGCTGAGTCTACCGAATTATTTCTAATCACGTGATTTTTTTCGGGATTTGGTTCTAATGGGACACTATCAATTCCCACCGGTGTGTATGGGTAAGTGGAAGGTCGAGCACTTGTTATCAGTCCGGGAGTTGCCGATGTTGCCGGACGACAACCTCCCAACGAAAGTAAACAATGAGCAGCTTCATGTTCTGGCAAACGCGATTTGTATATCTCCGTATCTGTAATTAATTGGACAACAAAAAGCTACTATCAATATATCATATTTATTTCGTTCAAAGCTTAAATGATAACTACTCTCAATTTTCCAATTTTCTTTCAATTAATTATACAAAAACGTATCAAACGAAATCAGGAGATTATAAACGTTTTATATATAAACCTCTTAGCAAAATGTTCAAACGAGAGCATAAAATGTAATTAACAATTGGTTGGGACAAAAGCTAGATTTGCGGCATCTGAATTGAATTGCTAGAACATTTTATGTGCTGATGCTTTGCTGATAAAAGTTGTTCGTTTACTAATGCACTATAAGCTATAAAAAAACTATTTATTCATTAATACCTAGTGAATTATGGTTAAATTGGGCAATGCCAATTTTGTAGATTTTTAAGATAAATAATAAAAGATTGAAAAAAAAAATTTGTAAGATATATAATTACAGGTTTTTGGTACTACAGTGACTTCTTTTATTTCATAATCCGGTTACACATCTAAGCATATTTAATAAAATATTACCTATTTACTTTACGAGGGCGAGACACTGAAAGTTTTTAGAACTGACCACTTGTAAACGATATACTTAATGAAAAAAAAGTTCAAATTTTGAAAATGGAACTCTGCCAATATTATTGTGTACTATCTATTTTATTAATTTGTTATTTGTTTACGATTTGGCGGAAAATTGAAAATTGTCTGTTACGTCAGCATGAATTTAACGCGAGAAAATTTTCGTACAATGATTTTTTATGACTTGATGTTATTTAAGTCAACAAGAAGGTTGTGATAGACTTCGATTGGCCTTTCACGATGAAGCCCCACCTCGTACCACTGTTTACAACTATTTTAATGAGTTTGAACGTGGTCGCACTAACTCTGAGGGACGGCCTTCTACAGCGACGACTGAAGATAACATCAATGTTGTGCGGCGTATGATATAGACTGACAAAAGAGTGACTTGTCAGCAGATTCGAACAAGCTTAAGCATCGGTATGAGTCATGTGCACGAAGTCCTCCATGAACATTTAGCGGTCAGGAAGCTTTGTGCCCGGTGGATACCTCATAATTTGACAGAGGCCCAAAAACTTCGTCGCGCTGGTTGGTGTCGTGAAATGTTTCAAAGATTTAACGAAGATGAATCAAATGCTGTGTTCGACATACTTACGGGTGATAAAAGCTGGATTTATTGTTATAATGCTTAAATTAAAAGAAAGTCTGCTGTCTGGGTGTTTCCTTCCGAGGAGTTGCCAACTAAAGTGAAGAGAGGTCGAAGCGTGGGAAAAAAGATGGTGGCCTCGTTCTTCGGAAGGACAGGCCATTACGCAACAATTGTTTTAGAGGATCGAAAAACAGTTACTGCAGAGTGGTACCCTAACAATTGTTCACCACTTATCTTAAAAAAAGTCCGGGAGAAATGACCTCGCACCTTGTGATTTTTATTTATTTCCGAAAATAAAAGAAAAACTTCGAGGAAAACGTTTTATAAACGCCGAGGAAGCAGTGGCTGCGTTTCAAAATGCCGTCGAAGAGACCCCTAAGGACGAGTGGGCAAAGTGCTCTTCACAGTGGTTCCATCGGAAGCAGCGATGTATTGATGTAAATGGACACTATTTTAAAAAGATATAATAAAACTAATAACTTGCTAGTTTGTTCAGTTTCTGATTTTCTAAGAAGTTTCAGTGTCACCCTCGTAAAAATACCTAAATATCGTCGTAATTACTCATCCCTTATGTTCGTGTAGTAATTTTCACCCCATGGGTTAAAATAAAGCCGACACTCAAACGTAAAAGCAGAACAAATAGACTGTATGCGCATCATGAGTGCGTGACTTGCGGTTGCAAGGGACGCACACATGCTGTACATCCAGCCGATCTGCTGCACTATTTAACGTAATATTAGTGTTGCTTAAACGTATTGAATGATGATATGATAGGTACTAAAATTAAAGTAATTTTCATGATTAATTTTTATACAATTTTGACAGAAATTCTTACCACTTGATTCTGTTTCGCCTTCATTTCCCTCATCACCCTCCGAATCTGTTTCATCATCTGTTTCTCCTGAACAATGTGTCATCTCTGAACCTTCTTCATTTTCTTCATTGGGATTTATTCCTAATTCACAACACTTCTTATAATGTGCTTTACTTTTCATGTGTTTTGTCAAATTTCCCTTAGTTTTGAAACTACAATAATAAATATATGCATTAATAAAATTGATAATTACGTTTTATTAATTAAAAATTAATATATTCTTATTCTTACCTAAATGCACAATGAGTACATGTGTAAGGTCGAACATCGGTGTGCGTTCGAATATGTTTCTTTAACATCGATGGTTTTTTGCAGCGAATTCCACATTCCGAACACACGTAGCGACCTCTGCCGCGACCACGGACGTATGTATACTCTTCGTTACTTTCAAAACCTCCTGTTAATTCTTTTTTGGGAGTGACTGTCGTGTCGGACGATTGTTGTTTTGATTCTTCTGTTCTTTTACTATCAATTAACGTAATAACCTGTAAAAAGAAAATGTGAAAGTGAGAAAAGCTAAGATAAAGCAAAAGCGGTTATATTCTCAAAGCATTTTTGTAACAAAAAAGTGTTAGGCTTATTTATTTATTTCAATAGGTATTTTAAATAAAAATTGTGGCACGTCTAACAAGTAACATAGAAATTTATGATTATAAATTAAATAGGCACCTGTTGATTATCTTTCGAATTTTTATTCCACTGCGATGAATGAGTCAATATGAGATCCTGCTTAATCACAGCTACGGTTACATTTTGCGGTCGATGGCGTGAGTCATACAAAGACATTGCGGACGATGCTGACAATCCCAGCGGGTCTGGCGTCAGTTCAGATAATAACTGTAAACATATGCATGAATTTACCATACTACCATTGACAATATCGCATAATATCAACTAAAAAATTACGTATAATTACCTGCCAGTTGCTGTACATTGATAGAAAATGCTGATTAGGCACATACGTCGGCTGAGGGCGGTTAATAGTGCAGTAGAAAACTTTAGTTGAACATTTTAATCCCAAATACGTATACGCGTTTCCATTTAGATATAATTGTCCGTAAGCTTTAGCCGGGCGAGGGGTTTCTGGGGACACCAAAGGCATTGTATTTGCATTGGGTGTAATACCGTGATGTCTTTTTGGTGTGAATGTACCAGGTTTAAGTGGTAAGGTAGATGGCCTCAAAAATTTTGGTTTCCTATCTTCAACAGCAGGACGTGCTGCTGAATTTTTCTGGAAATAAAATGTCTCTGATCTCTCATTATGGACAGAAGTAACAATTGTTTCTTGAGCATTCGTATTTTTCTGTACTTCAGAAGAACTTTGTATTTGATTGTTATATATCTCAGCTTTCGTAATAAGATTTTCGAAGTTAAAATTTCTTATCTCGTTTTCAGATTTTAACTCAATCGTTTTAGTTGATGGTTGGGAAACTAAATCTTTGTTTCTCAACTTGTGTTGAGGATGATTCGTATTTTCTTTTAAAACTGGTGTTTTCGTCATTCCATCAGAACTTCTTTTATACGCCAAATCTGGCCTTGCGGTTACCAGTCTTACAACGTTCGAAGAATAAGTTTTAGCTACTGTTGTAATACTCGTGTCATCTGTATTTTTTACCTTTATAATGGGTATGTTACTTGCATAATGTGATATTTCAGCATTGTAAGAGTCGTGGTTTTTATTATATTTATCTAATTCTGTGACAACAGGCCTAGAACCAGAATTTCTATCGTTTAGTGTTTGTTCATAGTTTGATACTATAGTTCCTTTTACTTTACTAGTAATTGGTAAGCAGTTCTGAATGTTTTCAGGAAGCAAAACAGAATTATGTATATCGTTGTTTGTAAGCTTTTGCGGTGCCGTGCTGTTTCCAATAAAGGCAGCTGCTGTGTTTGGCCCTGGCATCCCCGGTACGTGTGGTATAAGTTTTCCGCCATGTAAAATTGTGGTAGCTCCGTTTGGTGAAGAAGATGGACTAAGTGGAGGTAATGTTAATGGATTATATGCTGTTATGGCACTTAAAGGTGGGAAAGGAAAATGCGACATATCGTGCATGGTAAGTAAATTTGAATTTTGTATGTCAACTGTCGAAATTGGAATCCTTGTAGTTTGTGGTTGCGGCGTAGCTATAATTTCTTTTGGTGTTGGTGGATTATGCACAATTGTCCCCCCTGAGTGCAGTCCAGATCGTACTACTACGCTGCTTGCCTCAAATTCAGAACCATATTTCGATGGAGAAAGATTTTGCTGTATTAAAATAGGTGACAATTGATTTTTACTTGGTTCTATGCGTAAAGTGGTAGTACTACCCAAGTGATCAACAATTTTCACTTCACCTCCAAACATTTGAAGAGAGGTAGAATTATGCCTTATGTGCGGTGATAATTCCTCAATTGTGCGTAAATTTCCTGCGTTTGTTTCCGTACATCTTATTTTAGGTTGTGGGTATAAATCAGCCGAGCGAGGTGAAATGTTTTCTAATAGCCTTGGACTGTATGTATCAGAACGACTATCCATTCTTCTTTTTGGACTCTGTTCTTTGGGCTTGATCTTTATATTTTCTGTTTTTCTATTAAATTCTGTTGGTGTCCTTGCATCAACAAGCCTTGTATTACCGAGTAATGGACCAGGCGATGGCAAGGGTGCTATAACATCATTGGACTCTTGTTTTAAAATAACAAGGTTATCAGGTTTACTTTTAGAAGCCGGTGATTTTGCAGATATACTTATTTTAGGACTATGTAATTGTGTTTCTGGTAATCGAACGTTTATAGAATTACTTCTGACATAGATATTTTCTGGTCTGCCTATTTTTATTTCTTTTTGAAGGTTATTAGCAGCAACGGAATTCGCGGACATGTTTCCTTTGCAGTAGTAAAGTCTATGGGTTTCTAAGTTATCAACACTCCGAAAAATTATTTGGCACAATGGGCAAATATACAAAGATCCTAATCCATCTATTAAATCGCCTGAAATCGTAGTTAACCCATTAGCTTTACTTTTAAGAAGAAGATCCTTAATTATGGAACCTTCGGGATTAAGAGGATGTTTCTGATCCTCAATTTGAGAGAAACTTTCAGAATGAGATCTTTTTCGAAATATGTTATCAGCGTTCGAACTATTCTTCGTTAAATTTAACGGAGAAGATTCTCGTTTTATCTCTGATTCAATTATAAATTGCTTACTCTCAGCTATTTGCTTTATTTTTCCGTATTTCTTTTGTAAAGGTGTTTCTATAACATCAACAATGGCCTCATTATCCGATATAATTTTAGAGATATGTTCCGTAAGAAAGTCAGCATTAGTTGAAATAGTTTTTTTTATCTTGTCATTTTCATCAATTCCTTGATAAAATGCTGCTCTGAATTTAGGTTTATAAATTGTCTTTGATTTATTTCCATCATTTAAAGAAATGTTTGTGGTTACTGGTGGCGTATGACAGTCATGTGTTAATTCTGGTGAAGAGATATCATTAGTTGTGCAATAATCTACTCGAATAACTGAAGCCTCTGAACCAGTGTCAGAAAGAGAAGTTGGAGGTATAGAGGTATCGCTTTCTGACCCACCAGATAGGTCTTCTTCGTTTATAGGAACAGATACATCAGTACCCTGCAATCTTAATGCGTGTGTTCTGGATCTTCTATGTTTGTATAGATTAGATTTCGTTTTAAAAGCAAATCCACAAGGTATGCAAGGATAAGGTCTCTCATTCGTATGAGCTCTGATATGTTTTTGAAGAACTGAAGGCTTGGCACATGATAATTTACAATAAGGGCATATATATCGCCCGGTTCCTCCACTGTAAGAATCCCTGATAAAATCGTTTTCAAGGTTTTCAGTCTTATTTAAAAATTCTTCAGTAAAACTGGTCTTACCAGGTACCTGAACAACGTTATTTACATCTCTTAATCTACTATTTTCTGCATTAAAATTAATTTGTACATTATTTTCCACGTCACTGCTCTGTCTTACTTGTTTTTCTTTGATTTTCTCTATTTCAGGATGTGCAGCTGCAATGCTTCCGTTTGAAATTGAAGTGCTACAAGCAAAAGCGCTCGTTTCTTTTTTTCTGTTTTCCTCGCATTTAGGGGCGTTTGTTGGAAAGACAGAAATGGTGGATGCCATTTTTTTGAACTTCTTATGCAAATAGCTTTGATCATTGTTGTTAGTGAAATTACTATCCAAGCGTTTTTCTTGCGTAAGCGGCATCGTACCCGCGACTTTTAGACCTGAAAAGAAATATAAATATTTTTGAAAATCAATTTGATATGATTATATTCCGTCTTAACTGAAAATATGCGCCCCTCCAGTAAACATGATTGTTTCAATATTATGTGAGAAATACTTATTGTTATACTTTAGCGTGCTCCCCACGTTCTTAACTAGCCAGTGACTAAATAACGAATTTGTGTATACTACGTCCATACATATACTTTACATGTAAGCGTAAAAATATCGAAGGGGCAAGCAATTTCACATTAAACAATTTCTAAATATATAATATCTTATAGAACTAATTTCGATCACGAATGCCAGCACGAGTCTATGCACAAGCATCGGTTCACTCTATTCCCTCATTATCATAATCTGATAGAGACGGTAATCGGAGAGAGGCACAGGACCAACGGCTTTACGTTCTTTCCGAGGCACGGGGGTGAATCACGGCATACAATTTGACCTCGGGCTTTTATAGTCTCACTGATGTAAGTGCTACTACTAATAATCATGTGCTTTGGATGCCGGGTTGGTTCAAAAATCAGTTATCTGGTTTTTCTGCTAAGAAATACATAATAACATAAATTGTAATAGCCTAAATACGTACGTATTCTAAATATTTTTTTATTGCTAAGCCATGCAGGTTTCACGATGTTTTTCTTCACCTTTGTAGGCAAGGCGAGTAGTAAATCAACACTTAAAATTACTATTATAAATTCATTGGTGCCGGCAGGCACCGCATTGAACTTGGCTTGCTCGCGTACTATGAAATTTTAGAGGGAACGGTAATCCTCTGACTCCTGATTTACCATGGCTTACTTAGTGACCATAATCACTTGTTTTGTATCCTAGTTAAAGGCTTACTGCAAATTTTATAAAAAGAAAAATATGTAATAGATCTATTTATTATAGTGAATTGCCTATCTAATTTATACCCTTGTACTATTGAGTATTATCTGTTAATACGTAATGCGCTATATTTCAAAGAACATATATTATAATATAGTAGAATTATTTCATTGTAATTTATATTATATAATTATTATCATATTTATAGTCTATTCCAACGCAATTATTCGCGACTGTAAACAATGTTTATGTAGTCGGTTTAGGAGTTATATTGAATATTTTAATTTTAAATCAATAAATGTATAAAGCGTTTTTCATAGAAATACCTAATACAAAACGTTTACTTTAATAAAAAGTAAAAGCCGGCTTCTAAGACCTAAAAAGAATAAAATAGTTCCACATTTTGCAGATGGTGCATAGAGAATGAATTGTGATATTAAGGAATATCACAATCTCAATTACGTCTATTCAAAAGCATAAAAAAGAATGATATTTATTAGCTACTAAAACGTTAATATTATAATATCTGATATTTCACACAAGATCAGACAACAAAATGTTACGGAAAGGAGTTGACGCATGGCGCATGTGCCGAACTCTGTTGCTTTGCTGTGTTGTATCTAATAATGAGTCGTATGACATCATCGTGACGTAGGCACAACTTGCGCCAACTGACGAGGATATCCCCATTTTTTGCTGAATCTATTTTGCTTCATTTTCTATATTATGAAACGATTAAGTACTCGATATTATTTTTGGTAATGATGTAAATGTTTGTTATATTATCATATCTAATAATACATCAACACTTGATGCATATTTAAAGAAAATTAAAAATCTAAGTAATTATCTACATCACATTACATTAAGTAAATTTTAATTTTATAAGAGTTATCATAGAAATATCCTTTACCGTTACAGCCTATTAAAGCCCACTGCTGAACATAGGCCTCCCCATAGATTGCATCATGCCTGATGCCATGATTAGCCATAGTTGCCACGCTTGGCAAGCGTGTTGGCAATCGCAGTTTTTTTTATTTTTAGTCGTTACTAACTGATACCCGCGAGTCCGTTCGCGTTGCTTGATATATCAAGAAAACACACATCACTGAACACGTAGTGCTTACAAAAATCGTTGTTTCTTAAAACTAATAATTTTATATTAAATGAAGATACATATCGCAATATTTTTTTTAGATAAGGGCCAAGTGTCTAAGAAATAAAACTTAGAAAACCTAATTCAAATCTATCCAGTAGTTTTTCCGTGACGCGCGCACAACTGCAAACCTCTATGATTTTATTTATATAGATTAGCAAGACGCTGCTGCCCATCTCCTGATTTGTTTCCCTATATAGGGTAGTGGATATGCCTTCACCGCCATTACACGGTAAAACATCAGCCTATATAATATTTCTAAAATACAATCGTTTCAAGAAGTTAAAAACGCCATAAGTGAAAAGGGCGCGAGTGAGATGAATATCCGACTGGCAGTGTAAGTGTTTATATTGATACAATACAAATCCGTGTAGAGGTACGAAGGCGACCTCGCTTTGCGCTCACTCAGTCTTTGTGGACGGCTGCGTTGCTGCGTTCCAAGAAGGCGTTACAATTTCCGAGAACCGGAGACAACCAAACCGCTTGACTCGTTTATAACGAGCAAGCAAATAAGCGCAGTACGCATTACACACACAAGTGTAAATATTCTTTACGCTCGGCGATCGGCGTGCCTAGGTGTTGTTTAATGCTAGTGTGTGTTTTTATTAACTAGAAACGGGCGCTCAGTTTTCATAAAGATCTATATTCTTGGAAAAATGTTAGCTGGAGATATTAATTTAAACCACAATTCCAAAGTACAAACTTATATTATTGTCTTAAGTTAGGACAGGCATTTCAAATATAATATATTTTTTTATTATTGTACGTTATAAAATTGATATACAAAGGTATATTATTAGAAATGTATTAATTACATGTTTAAAAGTTTTGATGATTTTGAGAAACGTCATTAATGTCGTGTTGCAATAAGACAAAGGAATCCCGGTGGTCGACTGCCGCCCGCCGGCCTGGCGCCAAGCCAGGCGGCCCTGGCGACGCCTGTATCGGCCGCCAGCACGCCGCCTGTTTTACTTTACCAATCGCTTCTTACCACAAGGTATACCCCCGACCCTACTAATATAACATTGTATTAATATTAATTTACTGAAGGAAAGTGATAATAAACTATCCATATAATATAACTAAATCTAAAATTACATGGTAATGTTGCTATCGCGAATCCCGACGAATATCACACATATTCATCACATAATTTCTACATAATATCCGTTCCCTTTTAAGATTAACATTATATGTTTATAATTTGTATGCCTTCTTACTATGGCAGACATTGTAGGATTTTGTTTAAAATCCTCAAAACATGCCGCATATTTTAGGGTTTTTATACAAATATAAAATTAAATTAGCATTCATCCCTCTATATATTGAATTCGAGAGGAACCGCTGTTTTAGTCTTCCTCCAAATTACTAAACATTCGTTAATTTTTGATACTTGAGAAATAACAATAAATGTGCCTGCTAAGTATTGTGTAAATTTTTCTTACTCTTGTACACGAAAGGTCTTAGTCCTTGACCCATCGATCGCGCACGAGTGAAAACACAACATATAATAAGCTAATCCAAGCACCACCTATTGACTCATATAATATTTATTTATTCAAATCACTAGAATCGACCTTACCTGCCGCGGAATAATGAGTCAGTCCACCATTATTTTAGAAGTTGTCTTGATATCATTTGTTTACGCCTTCTAAGCATATGTCAACAAGTCCGATAGGCTGCATTTCACCCGCGCGCAAGTGAATCATCGTTAATAATTGCGCGACGATCTACGCCATCACACAACACACACATACACACATTATCGACACTCAGATCTCACTCGCACTTTAGTACAACACTACCACTTTCACGTATAGCAATTATCGACGTGTAGGTAATTATTTTATTTTATTTATTCGTCGTGAGTGTATCTCAGGTGGACGTTCATTCCAGCAACAAGCGACGCACGTTACCGCGCCACAGATGACTGTTCAACTGTTTGTAGTTGTACTTTGTCGTTGCTTCGTTTCGTCCGTTCGGCTATACACTTAGTTCCCCGCACCACCCGCGCTATACCCCGCGTGTCTCCCAGACTGTGCCCGCTGTGAGAAGTGATTCATGTCGCGTTGTATCTATCTCCTTCCTACATCGCAACCGGATCGGTCGCTCTTCGTAATCTATTTATACATATCTATCTATTCTATGCACGGACTTTTAACTCCACGATCACAGTGCCATCTTCAATAAAAGCGAATTAAAATTGCATAAATTTTTGTGATGCGTTCTTAAAATATTAAGTATTATATCATACATTTGATCTTTAGGTTTAATGTTCATTTCAGCATATACCAAGGCTTAGTATAAGATATGAATATGAAGTTACGGGAAAATAGTAATTTTATTAACTATCCATTAGTAGCACGGGCAACCCGGTGTAATTTTCATGCAGCACTGATTTCGTAACGGTTGCGCTCGACTAGAACGGGTATTGGCTTTGTATGCCGCCGTTTATTTAACATTCACCAACAACACTATGAAATACACATCAAATTTACACTTGCAAAATATTCTGGAATTATTTATAACCTTAATAAATTTCTCGACCGCTACTGTATAGGTACTGATGAAGTATATTATTAAGATGATATAGTTTTGTTGGCATTTTCCTGTATTTATTTTATCGCGTGAACTCGCTATCGACAAGACCTTTTTATCAAAAATTTAAGTGGCTATCAACATATTTGTTTTATTTACAGGCATTTACAGGCTAATAAGTCTGGTGATCTGGCGTCATTGTAGCAATTATCTTGGCATAATAGTCGTTAAACTGTGTGTTAACTTCCTTTGGAGAAACTCCTGGGTGCCCAAACGCTGATATGAATGTATAAATACATTATTTGCAATGATAATTCTAAGCGCTTATCAGTAGTGCGGAGGCGATGACGCACGGGCTACACCGATAGCACCCAGTCATTTGTTTCTCATTAAAAAGCGAGCAATACTAAATCATAAAATTGTATTATTCAATTTTATGCTTTAGTTATAT